TTTTTCTTGTCCTGTTCTATGAGCTTCTTTAGTCTACAAAGAAGTCTGGATATTTAGTTAATGGTTGAGTGACTTCCTTGGTCAGGTTAACAGGTTATAGAACAGTGATTAGGTGATTATTATTATTTTTCTATTGTTGCTGGAGATTGAACCCAAGGGGAAGTCTTGCATCTCTGCTACTGATCTGTACCCCATGGCAGCTAACAACTGTCCATAGCTCCAGTTCCAGGGGATCCTACGCCCTCTTCTGACCTTGGTACCCATTGCATGACATGGGTGCACTTACATGCAGGCAGTATACTCATACCCATAAAATAATATATTTTTTAAAAAGCTTACTCTTGGGCCGTGAATATGGCTCAGTTGTAGAGCACTTGCCTAACTTTCTGAGGCCCTGATTTTAATTCCCAACACTGTAAAAACAAACAACCCTTTCTAGTTGGAGAGACATACTTTAAACTGAGAATAATCAGAGAATTAATATTATGTACTAAATTGGTAAGCCAAACATTTTTGTTGGAAAGGAAAGGCTTATTATAGATAGGGTAGGGAAATTATAGAGCAGTTTGACATCATGAAGAACGTGTAAGAATTGGAGTAAAGAGGGGGTGTTTGTTTATACTTTGTGTATATAATTCAGCAGTTGTATGGATGCTGTACTATATACTGTCCACAGCTGAGTTCCATTAAGGCCTGTTTTCTGTTTTGAACTCAGAGAGGTTCTGGTTACCCCAGCATGTAGAAGCCAAAGTGTGTAGTGCTGGCGTGAACTGCACTGTTGCTGGTTTCAGCTGGCCCAGTTCTGGCCACAGGCTGATGCTGGCTTTGTATCTTGAGGGTTTCTTGACATAAATTTAGGGGGTTCTCGATCTTAGGACTGATGGATGGCAGTAGGTGGAGCATTGAGTCATTCATTAATCATTGTCACTAGGATTAAAAACTGCTACCCAAACACATTTTCCATTTAAACTTTTTGTTGGAAGAATGCGCTTTAAAGTATTGCTTTCTGAGTTTTTTTTTTAATATTATTTTAATTTTTTGTGTATGAGTGTATTTCCTACATGTGTGTAAGTGCACCTGTGTCATGCAATGCCTGAGGAGGTCAGAAGGCATTAGATCCCCTGGAACTGGCGCTACAGATGATTGTTAACCACCATGTAGCTGCTTGGAATCAAACCTGGGTTTGCAAGAGCAGTGAGTGCTCTTAACCACTGAGCCATCTCTCCAGCTCCTTGTTTTCTAAGTATTTATTTTGTGTATGTGTTTTGCCTGCATATATAAATGCATCTATGTGTATGTAGTGCTTGAATAGGCTCAATTTAAGTCTCCAAATGTAGGGATTGTTGTTAAGAATTGAGGAAACAGATCCCCAAAAGTTAAGTGTGTTCTCAATGTTATTTATTTAGTAAATGACACCCAGACCTAGATGTCAGGACTGCTAATTTTGAATCAAATGTAACTTCCTAATATAACCCAGCATCTTTTAGAATGGGATTGAGTGCTGAGCTTTGACGTCATTCTTGTTAATGACAGCATCTAATTTTAGGAGATTGTATATAAGATCAATGGATTTTGATCTACCTAACTACAGAGTTAAATAAATATTTAAGAAAATATTAAAATACTAACTTTAATAGTTTTAAAATACGTATTTTCTAAGTGAAGGGTAACTGGCTTTTCCTCCATTGATAATTTAAAAAAAAATTTATTATTCTGTGTGTATTGAGTGTATTGAGTGTATTGTCTGCATGTAAGTGTACCTGTGTTGTGTGCAGTGCCGGTGGAGGTCAGAGAGGGTGTCAGATTCCCCTGGTGTTGGAGTTATGGGCTGTTGTTAGCCACCATGTAGGTGCTGGGAATCAAACCTGGGTCCTCTGCAAGAGCAGCCAGTGCTCTTAACTGCTGAGCCAGCTCTCCAGTCATTTTTAAGTTTTTGAGACAGTGTGTTGTCTGGTAGCCCCAGCTGGGCTGGAATTCATGTGTAGATCAGTCTGGCTTTGGTCTTACAGAGATCACCTGCCGCTTTTGGGATCAAAGGTGTGTATCACCATGCCCGGCTGGTTGATAGAGTTTTTGATGTTTCCTCACTTACAGGTATTACAATTTCTGAGCAATTAAAAAATTATTTCCAGGCCGGGCGTGGTGGCACATGCCTGTAATCCCAGCACTCTGGAGGCAGAGGCAGGTGGATCTCTGAGTTTGAGGCCAGTGTGGTCCTCATAGTAAGTTACAGGCTAGTTGGAGCTATAGGGAGACCCTCTCTCAAAAAGACCAAAAAAATTTTTTTCTATGGGAGGGTGCTGATGGAGGAGGGGGTAAAGATGTTTTATATGAAATACACAAAAATTTAATTAAATTATTTCCTACCGGCCACCTTAAACAGCTTTCCAGTGGCAGAGTGTAGAGTCATTTGTAGGAAAATTATGAATCAGAATTCTCACAGGCCATTAAAAATGTATTTTATTTTAGAAGATTTCACTTGCTTGCTTATATACTGCTCCATAAAGTTAGATACTTAGACTGCCTCTAGCAGATTTTGGGTTTCACGCCCTCTCGGGCTCTTGTGCCAGTAGGATTCACAAATTCTGTTTGCTTCAAACTGGACATTTTTATAACTCTTAATGGATTTCTGTATTACATTATTTTTCACCTATCATACATAATTTCTATTATGTGGGGTATAAACCAAGCATAGAGTAAATCTGTTCCCATGCTTAAAAAAAAAAGTATGTAAGTTGCTTAGAAAGTCATGAAACCTGAATACTCTTAATCTCAGAAAAATAGAATAATTAGAATTATCAAAGAATTAAAGTTTTTTTGTGTTCACATTTATTTTGTGTATGTGTGCAGGCGTACATGTGCCATGGTGCCAGTTAGAGGACAACTTGCAGGAGTCATTTCTCTCTTTCCACTATTTGTGTTTCAGGGATCAAACTTGGATGGTCGGGTTTATCCTCTGACACACCTCTGCCTCTAGATACATAATTTTTATTGGATGGTTAGAAATGTCAGCTGAAATTACAGTAGCAGTCAGCTTGAAGGCTGGTTTCTGATGGTTGTATTTGCTGAGGAAGCAGCACAGTGTGCGGAGTTACGAGTGGGGTGTATTTGCAGTAGATTCTTCAGGCGTAGGAGCAGGTTCATGAGGTTGTTTATTGTTTTGTTAGGAATTCTCAACATCTGGTTCATCTAATACAGACACTGGTAAAGTTACTGGGACCTTGGAGACCAAATATAAATGGTGTGAGTATGGTCTGACTTTCACAGAAAAATGGAACACCGATAATACTCTGGGAACAGAAATTGCAATTGAAGACCAGGTAACATTTCAAAAACTTGATTGAGTGTTGTTTTTTATTTTTATCTTTCAAAAAGGAAATAAAACTAAACATGAATTATTTCTCCTTTAAAATAGATTTGTCAAGGTTTGAAACTGACATTTGATACTACATTTTCACCAAACACAGGGTGAGTGTTGATGCTTTGGTGTGTGTTGAACTTAAAAGCATTCTTCTGTCTGCTTAGGGAACAGGGTTTTTAAAAAATATTTTATCTATTTTTGTTTTTTTGTGTGTGTATGTGTGTATTGCCTGCATGTATGTGAGCGCACCCTTGTCGTGCAATGCCTTGGAGATCAGAAGAGGGCTTCGGATTCCCCTGGAACTGGAGTTAAGAGCGGTTCATAGCCGCCATGTGGGTGCTGGGAATCAAACCTGGGTCCTCTGCAAGAGCAGTCAGTGCTCTTAACCGCTGAGCCATCTCTTCAGCCCCTGAGATGCACTTTTGTAGTCGTGTGGTAGGCCGCCTGAGTGGCCAGTGTGTCTGCTTTTGAGCACTGTGCTCGCCTTCATTGGCTTGCTTTCAGATATTTGCCTCTCTTCAGTGTGGCACTATCTTGTGGTAATTTACTTGTTCCTGGGAGGCATTTGTAGCTGTCAGCTCTGCAAAGCACTTTTCCTATGATAGTGGTTAGTCCACTTCCCCCATGTGCTGTTGGTTTTCTTCAACAGTTTATTCAGCTGTTTTTTAACCCTGTAATTGTCACACAACTTTCTTTATAGTCTTGCAGTTGATCTAAATCTGTTTTATATCCTCTATGCAGTTGTGTATAAGCCTTTGTCATTGGCATCAGTTTCAAGTCAGTTTGTTCTTTTTCCAGAAAGAAAAGTGGTAAAATCAAGTCCTCTTACAAGAGGGAATGTATAAACCTTGGCTGTGATGTTGACTTTGATTTTGCTGGACCTGCAATCCATGGTTCAGCTGTCTTTGGTTACGAGGGCTGGCTTGCTGGGTACCAGATGACCTTTGACAGTGCCAAATCAAAGCTGACAAGGAGTAACTTTGCAGTGGGCTACAGGACTGGAGACTTCCAGTTACATACTAATGTGTAAGTATTTCTTTTGTAGAATATGGAGAGGCAGGCCCTCCAATGATGGGGTGTGAAGTCATCTCTTTTAATCTAGTTTCTACCTCAAGAATTTTTGTTCATTTGAAAAAGCCCTCACCTTTGGCTGGCTCTCAGGTGCTTCTGTTAGTTTGACTTTGGGAGCTAGAGTATGTGCTCACTTCATGTAAGGCTGGACATGCCTTATAATTTTAAGTTGCTTTTTTTTTTTTTAATGTTTATGAGAGTTTTGCCTGCATGCATGTTTGTGCACCACATGGGTGTGATGCCTAGGGAGGATGGAAGGTGGTGTTGGATCCCCTGGAACTGGAGTTAAGGATGCTTGTGAGCTGCCATGTGGGTGCTGGGAATTGAACCTGGGTCCTCTGCAAGAGCAGCCCACTGCTCTTTCTACTGAGCCATCTCTCCAGCCAAGATAGGCCTTATATTTTAGAAGGTGTTAGACATTGGTAGATTGCTAGGAGTACTTTCCCTGACATAATGATCTATGTTGGTTTGATTGGCTTGTCTATAATGTATGCTATTTTTATCTGACCCAAATTAGATAGTATAGAAAGGACTGCAATTTTTTTTCCCATGATAAAATAGGATATTGATAGCCAAGCATGGTGGCACACGCCTTTAATCCCCACATTTGGGAGGCAGAGGCAGGTGGATCTCTGAGTTCAAGGCCAGACTGGTCTCCATAGTGACTACCAGGTCAGCTGGGGCTACATAGTGAGGCTCTGTCTCAAAAATTAAAAAAAAAAAAAAAAGGAAAATAGAAAACCCTTTTCCCATAGACCTATCAGCTAGATACATACCTTTCCTTACTAAAAATTTAAAATTACATTTATCCATTTGTGTGTCTGTGTGTGTGTCTGTGTGTGTGTGTATGTATATATTGTATCTGGAAAGCTGTTTTCTAACCTTTTCTCAGGCTAGTTGTGGTACACGCCTTCAAATCTAGCACTCAGGAGGTAGAAGCAGGAGGATCTCTGTGGTCAGTCTGGCCTATATCGTGAAGCCAGATGGGGCTACAGGTAGACCCTCTCTTTTAAAAAAAGAATTTTCAGGCCGGGTGTGGTGGCGCATGCCTGTAATCCCAGCACTTGGGAGGCAGAGGCAGGTGGATCTCTGTGAGTTCAAGTCCAGCCTAGTCTACATAGTAAGTTCTAGGACAGCTGGGGCTACAGGGAGACCCTTGCTCACAAAGACCAAAAAAAAAAAAATAATAATAATAATTTTCTCTGGGCTGGGCGTGGGGTGTGGTGGTGCACATCTTTAGTTGTTTTTTGGAGTTTCAGGCCAACCAGGGTACATAGTGAGATCCTGTCTATAAGCAAAAAACAAATCCCCAAAACATTTTTTCTGTATTTAGTATGTTTTGATAATTTTCCTATAACATTATACATTTTATGACATTACTCAGGGCAGTGTGTTAATTTTACCGAATGAATGTGCTGTGACTCATTGATTTCTATATTGGAGATACTGGTTAGGAAAAGACTTTGGCAGGGTATGTGGTTTATGCCTGTGATTCTAGCACACAAGAGCCTGAGGTAGAAGGGTTGCTCTGAGTTTGAGCCTGCCCTGGGCTACATAATGAGTTTCAGTCTAACATGGGCTAGAGCTAAGGTTCAACCTGTCTCAGAAAAACCAAACTAAAGGGAAAAGGACTTTAAAAATTTGAATAGAACATTAAAGGCAGACATTACCAGTGTCATCCTCTGCCCTCAGTTCTAGGGATTGAACCCAAGGGCCTCTTGTATGCTAGGTGAGAGGTCTACCACTCTGTACTTGCCCATGTCTAGTAGAGGCTTAGATTTACATGTAATGCTACAGTATTATCCTGTGCCTTAGAAATGGTTACATTGTCTATTCTAGATTCTAATTCAAAATATCTTATAGCAATAATGGGACAGAATTTGGAGGATCAATTTATCAGAAAGTATGTGAAAATTTCGACACTTCAGTAAACCTTGCTTGGACATCAGGTACCAACTGCACTCGTTTTGGCATTGCAGCTAAATACCAGTTGGATCCTACTGCTTCCATCTCTGTGAGTACTTGGACTGAGAAGGGGGTGGTTGGTTGTGGGAATTACTTGGGTATATTGGCTGGTATTGAAAGCTTATACTGTGATTTGCACAACCAAGTTGACAGGTGCACTGGGATTAGAATTTGGAATGCTGCTTTTCCTAAGAAGGTAGTGATAGAGGTTTGATTTTTTTCCAGGTGAAGCCACAGAAGGTTACTTAACCTCAAGAGCTGCTGAGTTAGTATCATTAATACCCCTGAGCCCCAAGTCTGCCTAAGCTCAGGGTAACCAGGATTGATAAACCATGCCCTGTAGGAGCCACTTATTGGGCAGACTAGTTACAGCCAGAACTCAGCAGCTTAGTGAGTTGAGAATGAGAATGTAGGGAAGGAATTCTTTGATTTGAGGAAGTAGAAGTAGTGATGTGCTGTATGAGCTTTACCGTGAGTTTAAATGCCACACTACATTTCAAAGCTGGTGTGTCCCCTGGTGAGCCTGGTAGGCTTCAGGAGTCTCATTTTTGGCTCATGTGCCTAGATTCAATTCACCAAGGGTGTATTTTGTTTGTTTTTGACAGGTGTCCCTAGTCCTATCCCACCTGGAACTCACTATGTGGACCAGGCTGGCAGATCTTGTCTGGTTCCCACAGAGCTCTGCCTGCCTCCCTGCCTCCTGAGGGCTGGGATGCCTGGCATCCAAGGGTGGTTTTTATGAATGGTTTTGTGCTCTGTGGACAATTTGGGGTCTATGGACACATCCTAATGGGTGTCAAGAGTGTTTTGGGGCCTACTGACACTTCAAGTGTCACCTGAGTTTTGTCTGGCTTAGCATACAACATTAATTTTTTGTACCACATTGGGTTAAAGTTGTAGCCTCCATAATTACATAAATGGGAAACATGAGGGGCTGGAGAGATGGCTCAGCAGTTAAGAACACTGGCTGTTTTTGCAGAAGACCCAGGTTTGAATCCCAGCACCCACATGGCAGCTAACAGCTGTCCGTAACTTCAGTTCCAGGGGATCCGACAGCCTCTTCTGTCCTGCGAGCATTGCACTTACCTACATGCAGGCAATACACTCATACACATAAAATAAAATTTTAAAAAAGTAAAAATAAATGGGAAACATGCAAGAACTTGGTCTCCATTCAGAATTTTTTTTCTTTTTGTTTTTAGGCAAAGGTCAACAACTCTAGTTTAATTGGAGTGGGTTACACCCAGACTCTGAGGCCTGGTAAGTATTATTGATAAAGTAGGATTGTTGTTACAGTATTTAAAAAATTATATATATGCTTTAAGACAGGGTCTTTTATTCTAGCTCTGGCTGGCCTTGAACTCACTGAGTTCTGAGTGCTGGAATTAAAGGTGTGCGCTGCCATGCCCATTCAAATGAACAATTTTAGCTTATTTTGTGAACCTCTCAAGTCTAGTAGAACTGAATGCCTTTCCCCTCATCTGGAGGTTGCAGTTTATCATGACTTCCCACCTGCCCATGCCCCTCCTTAAGAGCATTCCTCTGCCTAAACCCAGTGCTGCCGCTCACTCCTGTGAGCTACATTCTGCATTCAGTGTTCTCATTTGTGTCTAAACAGTATCTTTGATCACAGCTCAGGGTGCTTTGGTTGGTTCTGTCTCTGCTGTCCTGTTCTCAGTATTGGTGGTTGCCAGAGTAGTGTTTTTTTAAAAAAAAACTTTTTTTTTTTGTCTTTTTGAGACAGGGTCTCCTTGTGGCCCCAGCTGTCCTAGAACTCACTATGTAGACCAGGCTGGCCTCGAACTCACAAAGATCTGCCTGCCTCTGCCTCCCAAGTGCTGGGATTAAAGGTGTGCACCACCACGCCCGGCTTTTTTTTTTTAAACTTTTAAAAATACTTTATTGAGAATTTTATGCATAAGGTGTTTTGAGGAAATCCACGTCCACTCCCTCCCCTCTAACACCTCCCATATCTCCCCATCACTTAAACTTGAGTGTGTGCTTAACTGACCTAGGTAGTTGGGTTCACATACAGATGCGGAGCCTCAAGATCTGGGCTGGAGAGCTGCTTCTAATGAGCTTAACCACCAAGGCCCTAAAGCACTGGCAGCTTTCCCTGCTTCCTGTGCTATAGGGATCCCATCCCCCATCCAGATTTTTTCATGGCCATTTTGAAACCTAAAGAAAAGTCAGAGAATGGTACCGTGAATACCTCCATGCATCTCTGACCCCTGTACACATAATCCTTTTAATTAGTATGAATTCACCTAATAATGCCATCTCTATTTCAATTTTTTCCTACTTGTCCTCAGATGCCTCTTTCTAGGGTTTAGTTATAATTTGGTCCCTGCAGTGTTCTTTAGTATAGATAGAATAGTGATCATGATTGCATTTTTTAGAGCCCTTGTTATTTATTACTAACCTTTTCATGCTCTTAAGTGTTGGTACAGTAATCGCTAGAATTCTCAGGATCACTCTTCATCTAGGCGCCCTCTGCTGGCTGGAAGGCTGAGGCAGATGAAGCATGCACTGGATCAGACTGGCTTCATGGTGGCTTGCTTCTTTTACAGGTGTGAAGCTTACACTGTCTGCTCTGGTAGATGGGAAGAGCTTTAATGCTGGAGGCCACAAGCTTGGGCTTGCCTTGGAATTGGAGGCTTAATCCAGCTGAAAGAAACCTCTGGGAACTGATATCAGAAGATTTGGCCTTAATATATTTCCATGTGACCAGCAGGCTCACCCTCTTCCCCTTCCCCCCAGAAGGTGATCAAAGCAAAGGATGATCTAAACAAGAGCTGTATTTTAAATATTTAGACAGTTACCTGTTAGCTGGTTTAGTTGAATTGGTTACCTAGTTATCAGTGCTGCAGTCGTGCAGTCACCTATACATTATTTAATGTATTTAACTGTTAAATGTGCTCCCCACCAATAATGAAATAGACGTTTATGAAAACCGTGCCATGGTGTGCATTATGTTCCTTTTAACACTGACTATTGCTGTTGAATGAGATGGATCAGTGGATGTTTTGAGATGAGGTTAAAGATAAGGTTTTTTTTTTTTGTTAAATTCAACCATTAGAATTACTTTTGGTAACCCAAAACATTACAAATTATGAATAAAACAAGTGTACATAATTAATGGCTCCAAGTATTTGCAGTTAAAGATTTGCCAGCTAGGATCAAATCTTCCTGGCATCTGATTAATACTTTCCTTGTGAGCATTTTGCTTTTTTTTTTTTTTATTAACTAAATCTGTGCAACCAGATTCCCTGCATCTTTAGACTAATTCCACGAGCTCTTTGAGACTACAGTAAAATAAGAGGATACATACTTTTACACTCTTCAGTTTCTAAGTTTGTGCAAAGTTTAAGTGAATCACTGTGAACCCCAAAGCTGATGAAGGACAGTTGCAGGAATGATGCTAAAAGACTATAAACAGGTGTGCCTTGCCCCCATGAGCTGTTGCTGCAGAAAGTGGTGTGGGCCCTAGATTGGTGGATGAAAATCGGACAATGGGAGTAAGTGTCAGTAACCAGAAGGGCTGAGGGGAGGAAACAGGCACAAGCCAGTTGTTATTCATTCCTTCCAGACAGATGACGAACAACTGGGCTGAGGTCAGGTCTGGGGCCACCCCCTTAGCCATTACTTGGATTTCATCCAGGCTTAAGTGACTGGTTAGAAAAGTAGGGAATGCACAAGCTTCCCTATGGAAGGTGGTCACCTGAGGGATTAGGAAAGCTTAGGGAATGGGGAGACTTGTGGAACACATCTGGCATAAGAGTCCTGAGGTTCTGTTGGAAGCTTGAGAACAGGTAATACAGTGGAGTACTACTTTGGGAATGGTGCATGCTAAAAACTTCAGGGGAAGGGGCTGGAGGAATGGGTCAGTGGTTAAGAGCACCTGTTGCTTTTCCAGAGGACCCAGGTTTGGGTCTCAGCACCATATGGTGGCCAACACCTATCCTTAAGTCCAGTTCCAGGGGATTTGACTTTCTCTGCTTGCCTTTGTGGGCACCAGGCACCCACTTGGGGTGCACATACACATACAGACAAAATATACATAAAAACACAAAATAAAGTGGGGGGCCTGGAGAGATGGCTCAGTGGTTAAGAGTACTGGCTTATCTTGCAGAAGACCCAGGTTTCATTCCCAGCATCCAAATGGTAGCTGACCATCCATGACTCCAGTTCCAGGGGACCCGATGCCCTCTTCTGACCTCCATGGGCATTGCATGACACAGGTGCACTTAACACACATGCAGGCAGTACACTCATAAAATAATGAAAAATATATATTATTGATGGGTTGATAGGAGGGTTGATGGAGGCTGGAGATGGCTCAGAGGTTAAGAACACTGGTTCTTGCAGAAGACCTGGGTTCAAAACCCAGCACCCACATGGCAGCTAACTGTAACTCCAGTTTCAGGTTATCCAACAGCCTCTTCTGTCTTCCTCAGGCATTGCATGACACGGGTGCACTTACATGCAGGCAATACATGCATACACATAAAAATATTTTTTAAAAACCTTGAGTGGGAGGCTGAGGACACGGAAGTGCCCTCTGGTCCCGATTTTGTCCTAAAGGATTAGCTGGTGTGGTCCATGTGAATCAGAAGACCCAATTTCTCTAAAAGTTTGTCCCCAAACATGTCTCAGTGGCAGGTTAGAATTTGAGTCCAGATCTTTTGCTAGCTTAGAAGGAACCATGAGATGTTAATCTGTCTAAGCTTACATAAAGCAGTGCTTGCACTTGGGGGTACGACGTAAACTAACAGATAACAGACTTCTACTGCCCTTCAGCTAACCAGTGTACTCTGCTGCGGTTTACCTGGTGCAGCACTCTGGACTGGAGTTTATAGTAGTGAGTTACCAGTTTGTCAAGGATCCTACTGAAAGTAGATTGGACCTTGTCATCCATGTGCACCTTGATAAGCATTTATGACTTAAGGAGGAAAGAGTAGGACATAGCCAGCCCCTTCCCGGGGGTTGTGAAGAATGCAAGGTAAACCGTAGGTGCTGTGGGACTGACATTCTCAGTTAAGGATTCATGCAGCACCCGTGGATCCACTTTGAGCATCCTTCAGGTGCACTTCACCTGTGCCTTAACCAGCAAGTGACAAAGTCTGTTGTGCCCTGGGCAAGTGCCACTTAGGCCTGAGGTGTGCCATGCCCCTGTGAGGCAGTGTTGGTGCTAGCAAAACCTTAAGTTCTGGAGGCGCCTTCAGTGAAGGTCTGCTACCTACTGGCCACCTGCTCTTGGACATCAATTCCCTCAGCACTTGGGGGCGGGGAGGGCAGCAGATACATGCAAACCAACCAGGTTTAGGCCAAGAAGTGTGGTTCTCAGAGGTCATGGGCACTGGTCAGTGAAGCTGGGGGAGGCCGCAGCTCTGAAAACATGCGGCGACTGCCAGCAGAACTGACCTAGCCTATGGAAGTGCAGCAAGGTCCCCTGCAGGGCCCTTTCTGGGTCAGATTCCAGGTGTGGTCTCCACCAGCTTCAGTGAACCAGAGCTGCTTCTGCCCCTACGAGGGTAACCAATGTAACTCTATCATACATCTAGCCCTCAGAGGCAGTTGTTGGCCTCTACCCAGTGCATGCAAGCTGGCATGGCTGTTTCCTCAAGGCCCCCTTTCACTGGAAAAGCTGTCTGTGTGCCTGAGAGGGACGCTTCCCATACAGTGAACGCCAGATAGGGAGGCTCAGAAGGTCCTGTGACCCAACTTTTATTGTCAGGTTTAAAACTCAAGAGTCAGTGCAAGCCCATTCGCGGGGGGCCAGGCCTAGATCTTGAAGGCCAAGGTGAGGCCGTCACCTAGGGGCAGGATGCTGATGTAGACCCTGGCATCCCGTAGGATGCGCTCGTTTAGGCTTCGCACGCACTCAGTTGTCTTGTCCCTTGGTGGAGGTCTCAACACCTCTCCCTGCCACAGGACCTGTGGAGAGGCGGGGCATCACGAGGGGCGAGGCCTCTGGGGCGGGGCGTGGGAGGAGGCGGGGCCTGTGGCGTTGTGGGAGGGGCTTGGGGCAGGGCGGAGCCCAGGCCGGACTAGGTTGCGGTCTAGCCCTTACTCTAAGCACCGCGAGCAAGCCTCCCGGGCGCAGCAGCTGCAGACAGCGCTCGTAGTACAGCACACAGTTCTCCTTGTCCGCGTCCACCACCGCCACGTCGAAGGTCCCGGCCTCGCCCGCCGCCAGGAGCTCGTCTTGCGAGGGACAGAGGGCAGGTGCGGCTGAGCTAGGGTCCCGGTGGCCGGAAGCCCCTGCCCAGGCTGGCCCCTGTGCTGGGACGCAGGGCACCGGCTGGGCCTCGGCCGCAGGGACGCCGCCCCTGACCCCTCGTGGGGCGTCTTCCCGTGTGCCCGGGCGCACTCGGTCACTAGCTCGCGCCCAGTGGCCCCGCGGGGGAATTGCAGGCAAAGCCCTTCCCGCGCCGGTGCTCACCCAGGGTCTGCAGGGCGGGCTGCAGCCGGAGGTCGATCTTCTGCTCCACCTCGGCCTGCGTAATGAGCCAGGTCAGGCCAGCACACCCCCGAGCCCGAGACTCCGGGGTCCGCGGCCTCAGGCGTGGACACTCACCTGCCTCCATAGGGGCCGTCCCAGCTCCGGGAGCCCCGCGTCCACCTCGCAGGTTACCACGCGCCCGGCCGCGGGCAGTGCCAAGGCCAGTGACATGGCAGAGTACCCTGTGAAAGTACCTGCGGACCGGGACACCCACAGCTCAGGGCAGGCTGGGGGACGGCCCAGTGACCCGCGTCCCCCCAGTGGCCGTGCGCCCCTACCCAGGTCCAGAGCCTTCTCGGCCTTGATGAGCCGCGCCAGGTTGGCCAGAAGCTGGGCCTGCTCACAGGTCATCATGGAATCCCCCCGCGACTGCTCCAGGGTCAGCTGTGAGTGGGGAGAGGGTGACACGGTTCCTGCCAATCACCCACCCGGCATACAGATTCTGAATCGCGCATGGGTGTGGCCTGGAGGGGACAGGTCCTCAGGGAACGCCCACTGCACCACGCCGGGGGAACCCGGAAGCCCAGAGATGGCCACAGCTCAGCCCAAGGTCACAGCCACGTGGGACCCACCACGTTGGAAGTGGAGAGCCCGATCCCGCCCCCAGCCCTTACTGACCAGCCTCAGGCTGCGCAGCGCCGGGTGCTCGCGCATGGAGCGGCTCAGTACATACTGCCACAGGGGACTGTCCTCCGGGGGCAGCAGGCGCTGCTGCCTCCCGAACCTCCATCGTCTCCCTGTCGGGCAGAGGGTGCCGGGTCAGGGCCTGGGGTTCTGATCACTGCTTGGCTCCGCGTCCTTCCATCCCCGGGGCGGCTGCAGCGCAGCCCCGCTCACCCAGGAGGAGTCCAGTGGCAAAGGCGGCGCCCAGTGCAGCCGAGCCCAAGGCCAGCAAGGCGGGAACTGAGAACCGGGGCACCGTCAGGGTCATGGCGCGGGTAGCAGGCGGCGATCACGTGTGCTGGAGTCGAGGGGACCCGACCAGGACCCGTGGGCGACTGAGCTCCACCTTGTCCAGGCCCGGCCGCGCTCGGGTACCATCTGGTGATCATATCGCCTTACTGCAGGGTCCGTGCGAGACAACTGCGCGTCACCTGGTGGCCGCGTGGGGAACTGCCGCGTGGGGAACCCGGAGACGGCTTGGCGAGCACGGTCTAAGCACCCCTGCTGGCAAGGCTTGTCTTGTTGCTGCTGGGGACCCTAGGGCATATGTTGGCGCTATGGGAGGGGAAGAGTGACAGTGTCACAAATAAAGGAGCCCAGAGTGAATAGAGAGAATAGAGGGTCGCCTCCTGGCGTGTCCAAAGGATGAGGTTGAAGGAACAAAGGACACAGACTGAGGGTCAAGAGCCTTAGGGCATGTCTGGTCATAGCGGTTGGAATCAGTAGTGTATCATCTTGTGCCTGTCCGGTCTCTCTGAGCTTCACTTTCCTTTCTGTACAGCAAGGATTACAGTCTTATAGTGAAAGGTACTAGATTCCTTGCACACAGTAGGTGCTCAGCAACAGCTTCTGCTGTGCACATCCATTAGAGTGAAGGCATTGTGGGAGGCGATAGGTGAGGCCCCTTGCTGGGTTGTTCTACCAGAACGATACCCAGTGAGCATTGATTGAACACCTACTGTCTGCTCAAGCCTGGGAGGTGAAAGGCAGTGGTTTGACAACAGGACAGGTAGCACTGACAGGCTGCCCAAGCGTCACTATTTCCTTTTCTATACAGCAAAGTCATTACTAGACCTCACTGCTCAAGAACTTCAGGGAGAAAATTCAGGTGAAGGCCTTACACTGGCCCAGTGCTTGTTGGGTTGTCAGTACTATGTTCAAAAGGGCTCAGAATCTACAGTGTGGAGGGCCATGGGGGCCCCTGCCCTGAGATCCTAGGGTGGTTGCCCTGGGAGCCTGTTTTTTATTTTGTTTTTGTTTTTTTAAGACAGAGTGGACTCCATGTAGCCCCAGCTGGCCTCAATCTCATAGAAATTCACCTGCCTCCACCTCCCCAGTGCTGGGTTTAAAAGTGTGGATTACCACACCCAGGTAGCAACACTGGCTGGGCGAGTCCCCTGAAGGCAGGTAATACATGCCAAGGGCCTAGTGGGTGGGTCTTCAAGTAGGCCCCTGGCCAGGCCCAGCAATCCTGGGCCTCCAATCACAATCAGGGTGGACTGACTTTTTGGTGGTTTTCCCCAGGTAAGCACTAGGCTGCAGTTTACTCCCATCTTTAGGGCTGAGTACACAGCAGGCACTAAATACATGTGCCCTGAAGACCCGCCTGGTGGTGCCAAGTGCTCCTCACTGCCACAGCTGTCAGCCGTAAAAACAGGAACAGTAGGAGCCTTTTCTGGGTGCCTGCTGGATACCAGGCACAGAGTACTCAGCATCCCTTTGAGGCAGCAGTATCATTCCCATTTTCTAGAAAAGGAAAGCAAAACCCTGAACTCCCAGTCTCCAAGATTTACTACACCCCACCACCTCCAGCAATTCTTGCTCTGGGATGGTGCAGTGTTCCTGGCACCTCTGGGAACCTCCACCAGGCGGGTGTCACAGGGCCCCTGGGCTCAGCTGGAATCCTTTACCCTGTATCTCCTGGTTGCCACAGCTTTCCTCCTCCCAGCTTGGCTTCAGGCCGGAGCCATGGAGGTGGGGGAGCAGGCAGGGAGGGAGCCATGTCGCCATATATCCCCGTCAGATTAAAAAACTAATTTGAAAAGATTAATGTATTCCATTCTTGTTACGCTGGCTCTGATACCTCTGGGCCTGAGGCCGCTCTGCCTCTTGATTATTGAATTTTTATGGCCTGGTAATTAATTGCAGATTCCCTGTTTTGTTCTATTTCTTTTTCTCTGACATTTTAATTCCAACAGAAAGCAGCGGTCTCTATGCAGGTTCTCTCGGGACACCCTAATGGTCTATAAAACAGAATGACTTATACACGTGGCACCCACTTCAGGTGGCGAGCGATTGTTTGAAACCTTGCTGATCACACAAAATTTAATTTTTCCACCTCTCTCCCCCTTTGCTGCTTATTTCTTGTCTCTTCTAGCCTCACCAGGAAGGCAGCCCAGTGTTGCCTCTCAATGGGTGACAGGGCCTTTTCTTAGAAGGCTGTGGCTAAGTCAAGGTGGGGTTTGCTTCTCCTTGCCAGTGAACCTGGTTGCTGGGTGCATACAGACATTCATTCTTAGCCAAACTGGGCCACAGGAACAGGGCTGGGAGAGACCCTTGAGTTTCTGCCGGATGCCCCCCATGTCCTCCTCCTCACAGCTCTCCCTGCTAACATCACACAGGCTGGTCTCCTTCAGAGCCACCCCCAAACCCCCAGGACTGGGCAGAACAGGGGCACAGAATTAAATTGAACCCAAGGGCCAGGAACTTGAGTGTCTCTGGGGGGCCAGGAAGGTGAGGCAACATAGGGGAGGACAATAGGGGGCAGTGGGGACTGTGGCACTCCAGACCTTACATTCCACCAGAGGGTGCTGCAGCCATTCAGTTGGCGATGCCAGGTGGGACGATGACCCAGTGTGGCCTGAGCTTCTGAGTCCTCGAGAGGTTGGAAATCTGACTTTTCGTATGAATTCTTATAAATATCTGGGTTAGATGTTTGGTGTTTTAAACACTATATCAAACAACCTGTACTCACCTTTGAACTTTGTGTCTGGTGTGGCTCACAGGGGCTGCTGCTCATTCTTAGCTGTGGAGCAGAGAAGTCAGGATACGAAGTAGAGTCTCTCAGGGTCCAGACAGTATCAGCAGGCAGCTAGCTGCCCACCCCTGTATAGCCCTCTCTCTCCCTTTGGGCCTAGATGCTAGGGTCCTTTCCATATCTTCTCTTCAACACAGTCTTTTAGGGGTGCCTTTGGGTGGCTTCACAGTGTTTGCTTGCTCCTGTCTCTTATAGAGAAACATGCAGCCTGGCTTCACTGCATCTGGGTCAGATCTGCCACCCTCTCCAGGGAAGAGGACACCTCTTAACTTGAGGCTTTGGGAGGCGAGACTGAGACTCCAAGGGCCTTGGGGCCAGTTTGAGAGAGGAGACTGAAGAGACAGACTGCAATGCAAAGGCTTCAGGGCTGCTCAAATGAGCTGGGAAGGGGTACACAGCTTGGGCTACCAGTGATAACACCTATAATGCCCCACTTTCCTCATTTGAGAGACTAAATGAGAATGCGACAACCCAACCCAAGCTGGACCTGGGTTCTAACATGGGACCCACCACTGACCTTGTTCTGGGTGGGCCCAGAACTAACTTCTCAACTGGATAAAATGGGAATTGTTATGGTTGGGATCTTTTTTTTTTTTTTTTTGGTCTTTTTGAGACAGGGTCTCCCTGTAGCCCCAGCTGTCCTGGAACTCACTATGTAGACCAGGCTGGCCTTGAACTCACAGAGATCCACCTGCCTCTGCCTCCCGAGTGCTGGGATTAAAGGCTTGCACGAGTACGGCCACTATGGTTGGGATCTTAAAGGTATGGTGGCAGTGTCTGGAGTTATTGGGAGGTGGTGGGTCCTTTAAGAGATGGAGTCTCCTTGGAGGGGTGTGTGGCCTTCATGGAAATACTGGACCCCACCCTTTTCTCTCTGCCTCTGTTTCCCTTTTGTAAAGAAATAAACAGCCTCGTAGTAACTCCCTCTGCTACCATGACATAAGGGCCACAACAAGCACAGTGGCCGGCTCAGTGACCACGAATCAAAGCCTCTGAAACCGTGACCCAAATAAATCATCCCTGATGGTCTCTCCCTGTGTTGCTTAGGCTGGCCATGAACTCATGATCCTCTCAAGTCAACCCTCCCAAGGGCCAGAATTACAGGGGCTCACCACTGCACCATATTCTTTTTTTAAGTCGAGTTTCTTGCAGTTTGTCACTGACTGACACAGGGAGGGCACTTCTTAGTTTTTTGTTGCTCTGTCATGAAAGACCATAGACCCAGTAGTTTAAAACACCCACATGTGGCCTCACAGGTGTGAGGGCTGCAAGTTCCCCAAGGCCTGATGCTGTTGAGGAATTATGGTCCTCTGGGCTGGGCAGGGGGCTCTTCCAGGCTCATCAGTTAGTTGTTGGCACAGTTCACTTCCTTCTTTACAGATCATCCCCAAGGCCAGTCATGGCATGTGGAACCTTCTGGATGCTTCGGATTGCTCTACCTTCCTCCTCTGCTTTCAGGGGCCCAGACAGGCACTCCATGGCTATGTCCCTGTTTTAAGGTGAGCTGGCTAGGAACTTTTTAGTAACTGCTGCAGAATCTCCTTTGCCATATGACATAATGACCCAGAGAGAAACAATGGTGGCAAGAGTCGGTGGGGCCCATTCCAGCAGGGAACCTCCTGGAATGGTTATAAGGAGGCTAGGCTCCTTCCTGTCTCCTTAGTCCAAGAAGCAGAGTGTGAGGCAGAGGACAGTATGCCAGGCAGGGTCTCTTGATGACAAACGTCAGCAACCACAACAAACAGAATTCACTTGGCTACAAATACCAAATTCTCTTGGGCAAACAGCAGACTCAGGAGGACCAGAGACTCTGGATGGGATGTCTCAGAGCTAGGAGCATCAGAGGAGGCCCCACCTGTTCTAACTACAACACAAAGCTCACCACAGCCTGCATCTGCATGAGACTCCACTACAGCCACTGCCAAACTTGTACTTACACCACCTTTCTCCTTAATTGACCCAAGATTCCGAGGCCACACTTGTTTGTGTAGCATCTGATTGGTTGAAACCCGGTCATGTGCTGCAAGGGATTCTGGGAAGGGTGCTTGCCTTCTTCACTGGGAGAGGAGCTGCTGGGAGGCTCTAGAAGGCCTGTCTTCTAGAAGCTTCTGAGGATCAGCGAAAGTGCCCAGTACAAACAGCCATCCTAGGAACAGGTGCATCATAGCAGCCCAGGTCACGTCCAGACAAGAAAGGAAACTGGACAATCCCCGGGACTCATGCACATCCTGGGGACTAACTGCCCAGGCTACATAGTCAGTGGGGATTGGATACCCTCCCCTCCCCAGGGTCTCTGGCTTCAGGACTAACATTTTTTTTCTTTTTTTC